AACGTTAACAATTGGTCAAAAACATGCAAATATAATAACCTTTCTAGCAACTTCAAAAATGTGCACAAGCCAAAGTATTCGGAATTTTGGGGTGGGGTTTGCGGCCTTCGACTCGGGATGAATAGCAGAAAAATAAGATAAAATAAAAGGGAAGGCCAAAATTTGCCGATTTTCACTGGTGTGCCCCCTTAAACTCTGTATGTAGTTTGTAAGCATATACACTCCGAATAGAGTGTACTTCATCATATATACTCCAAATGGAGTGTGCATACTACATAGACAGCAGGAACTGCCCATGTCTTTACCAGCTGTGTACATGCCGTTTACTCCATTTAGATATACATAAGCGTGTACTCTCCATTTGGAGAAACCATGAGCGTTTACACTCTATTTGGAGTGTATGCTCTATTTGAAGTATAGCATCTCTGTTGCTACTGAAAATCTTTCTTTCTTCAAATCGAGTGCCAGTATCAATATTCAGTGTAAATTTAAAGTATTTCATAGTAAATAGTAAAATTTGAAAGGTGGAGAGCAATACCTGGCTCCAAATCCAGTCGAAGAAGAATTTTCTGCTATTTACAGTCGTATCTTGAAAAATTCTCCTACGCAAAGTATTTTAACGTAAACTGATGCTCTGGGCATTTTTCACTTCTTTGGTTCATACTTGATGAACTGTGTCATTAGTAACCATTATAAAATCATAAGCTGAGTTTTTAAGACAGCATGTCTCTAAAATTCCAAGAAAATTGTAAAAATCCTGATATTTTAGTGTCTTTTTTTCTGAAAAGCAACGCTACAATAAATTTGCTAGGTCCCACGTCTTGGTGAAGCTACGCTGAGCCAGAGAAGTGAAAAATGTCTAGAACATCAGTTTACGTTGAAATACTTTGCGTAGGAGAATTTTGTTGCAATCTCTCTGCCGATTCCGAGAATGTTCTGTGATTTTCAAACGGAGAAAAAGTGAAGGCGCTACAAGCTTTGAAAAACGGCATTTTTCGCAATTTTTCAAAACTTATAAGGCTGGTAGTGCCCTCAGTTTTACTCGTTTCTCAAAGCCCAGTACATATTCGGAATGAGCAGAAAAAATGCCACACAATGCGCCATCTAACTTTTGAGATTTCGATAAAAGTATTTTTTCGACCACCCCTAGCGAGGGTGCCTACCTCGTGGGTGCGAAAGTAAATTCGGTGGGTCCTATGAACAAAGACCGTTGTCCTTTAGGTCGCTCGAACAAAGACCGATCTCCATTTCCTTACCTCTCAACGCGTTCGTTTTGAAGTCCCAGAACAATCTCTACGTCTTCATTCCACACAAATGAGTTTTACATAATCATTCTCTTATGTGTTCGAAACAAAACCTGCAAACTATTACTTGAGTTGGATGTCTGTTGTGAGAACCACAAGATAAAGAAGCGGTGAATCCAGAAACGGCTGAAATGGAGATCGGTCTTTGTTCGAGCGACCCAAAAGACATATGTCTTTGTTCCTACGAACCATCGAATTGCTAAATACTGATTATCTAGACATTTGCGCCTACAAGTTCAATGGTGAAAAATGATCCACTAGGGGTGCCTAAGCTTCCTTCCAATTATTGACACATCGAGAAAACTCACCCTGTATTTGAACATAAATGCTGAGCTTCTTTTAGACCTAAGAATCCCATTGTGGAAAGCATTTCATGTCTCAAGTTTTATTCAATCATTACAAGTTTTCTACAAGTATTATGCTACTTCTTTTGTCTGGACTTGTCAATAAACATTGTGCATAATTAATCTTGTGTCTTCAAGGATTGAAAATTAATAGTAATTATGTATTTTGAATTTAATTCAACTTTATTTTCCTCCCAAAACCGAATAATTCTCTACGCAAAATGTGGACTGCTGGACGCCCCGGACAACTCAGGAAATCCATGGTACCTGAAAAGACATTTAAAAAAATTAATATCTTTACAGGGAAGTTTCTAAGAAGTGCAGTCTTTTACAACGCTTAAAGCACAATGAACACACTTCAAGATCAAATGTGTGCTTGGTACACAGCTGTGGGAGCGTACTTGCAAGCACACATCTAAAGGTGTATGCTTGGCAAGTCAAGAACCTATAAAGCCCCAATCCGACTGACTCACTGACTCACTGACTCACTCACTCACTCATAGAAATGTTTGGGGTGAAGGAGTGGTCGTAGAGACTTGCGGTTTTTCCCATTCAATTCCAAATTTTATGGAAAAATTGGGAAAAATCCCAAAAGTTGAAAATTCCTCACCGTTTCCGAGAAAACCTACTTTATCTACAAAAAAGGGGAACAAATTTCTCACCGTTTCCGAGCAAACCTACTCAATCTTCAAAAAAGGGGACCGACCGACTAAAAATTTTTATTCGCCCCATCGGTAGGTCTGGTCGAGACATTTGCGAATCTGTGCCGCAATCCGGTCTCCGTCACTGGCAACATCCTCAAAAAACGATTAAATAGGCCTAAATTCAACAAAATCCACTCAATCTTCAAACAAGCTAGGGCCCGCCCTTCCGTCGAACCGAGTTGCCAGCTCCGCTTCGCTGCGCCGGAAACTCGGTTCGACAGGGGGCCGGCCCAGCTTTGCCTGCCGGCGGCCTTTTCTTGGGCCTTCGGCCCTCGCATCAGACCCAACTTGGCCAGTCGAAGGGCCGGGCCTTCGGCCCGCTCGCATCACACACACCGTGAGCGGGTAAAGCAAAGTTATCGATGTACCATCGTGACTTAGGCCCGCCCTTCTATTCACAATATGCAATAGTCCTTACACTTTTTACTCCAACTGTCCTTAGAATATGCCCATTTCATTTGTCTCTTCGCCCTCATTCCGAAAATACCCATATTTGCCATGCTACTGCAACTCCTTGCAATAGAGGCACAGCAGGAGCGCAAAACGAGTCCGTCGCACTTTTTCCCATAACTCATGAAGGCGGGCTCCTGGACCCCCTTCCGACCCCTCGTTGAAGAGGTCTTGCCAAGACCTATCCAAAACTTAAGTAAAAATTTTCAGTCGGTCGACCCCCTTTTTTCAAGATCCTGATGTGACTAATAGACGAAGTCGGGCTCCTGGACCCCCTTTCCGACCCCTCGTTGGAAAGGTCTCGCTGAGACCAATCGAAGTCTGCAATAAATTTTTTTAGTCGGTCGACCCCCTTTTTTGAAGATCCTGATCTGGCCAACTTGTAAAAGCGGCCGATGGGGTCGGGACCAGGTCCATTCATCTTGTCTCGTCGCCCCGATTCCAAAAATACCCCTATGTGCCCTGCTAGCACCAATAATGGCGGAAATCCCCCTCCCGCTCATGTAAACCATGATGCACCTGCAGCAGCCCTTGTGCGACCCGGACAGGATTTGCACCACCGGATTATTTGTTTGGACGGTACTCCTGAAGTACCCTCCAAATCTGGTTACTCCAGCTCAACTCCTTCCTTGTACACAGACGCCAACAACAACAACACACAGACACAAAGGCAAATGCATAGGCCCTCCCCCTATTTTTTGAATAGAAGGGCGGGCCAAAAAAGGGGACCGACCGACTAAAAATTTTTATTCGCCCCATCGGTAGGTCTGGTCGAGACATTTCCGAAACTGTGCCGCAATCGGGTTCCCGTCACCGGCAACACCCTTAAAACGATGAAATAGGCCTAAATTGAACAAAATACAACCGTTTCCGAGCAGTAAAAGCCATGTTATATATTGCCGGAGAAATCAGAAATCGAGGGGTCCTTTTCAAAAGATCTTATCTGGGCGTTCCCCCCAAGACAATCTTATCTTAAACGCCTACAAATTTCACTCATTTTGATCAGTCAGAATAAATACGAGGGTAAGCGAAACATATTTCTACATGCACTTTTGGTTTCTTTGATCTTCCATCTTTAGATTTACTTGAACATACTGATATTGATATGTAGCTGTATCAAATGCTCAAACTATGTGAAATTCACCTGCGTTTAAAATAAGATTGTCTTGGGGGGAACGCCCAGATAAGATCTTTTGAATAGGAACCCTCGAAATGAAAGACGCAAAAGAGGCCCATTAGCTTGGCCTTCGGTCACATTGACCATAATGAACACAGATCTTATTCTTGTCAAAGCAGTCTTCCATATTTTCCGGACCTTGAATGCCGTTGACTGCCACAGTAGCCAAATACAATACAAGCCATCTATTTGGGCAGTAATAGTACCTTAAAAATTAATGGTCAAAAGCAGTTAAATAGACCCTCCCAAAAAGCAGTACAGTTACTTCATTAGAAAATTTCCCTTTGGTCACCACGGACTTACTAAAAATACTTCGGTACGCGCCCCACACATGCGGGGGTCTGGGGGCGGAGCCCCCAGCGAGCAGCGCGAGTACACATCTATAGGTGTATGCTTGGACAAGCACACATCTATAGATGTATGCTTGGCCAAGCACACAGCTGTAGGAGTGTGCCTTTAAATGGGTGGGATTAAAGTGTGTTTGGCCAAGCATACACCTATAGGTCTGTACTTGCCAAGCATACAGCTATAGATGTGTGCTTGCAAGTACGCTCCCATAGCTGTGTACTAAGCACACATTTGATCTTGTAGTGCACGTGATCAAATTTGATCTGAATATAGGTGTATGAGGCTTGATACCAGCTCATGTAAAATTCACAAAGAGGCAGTCGTAATGATAAACGTGTTAAAGGTATATTAGTGCAAACACCATAATTAGATTCAAAGTGTTCTGTTAAATCTGAATCTTCACGATTGAACAAACGGAGTGCCATAATAAGTCGCCTGAGACTTTAAAGGTCAATTTATTCGAAATTTGACTCTTGCCTAGTGATGTCAACTTGATCATTCAGGTCTCGATGGGACTAGTGATCACTATTTTCAATTTAAACACCCTAAAAATTGAAATTATGGCAACCAAATGGTTAAGTTAGGTAACAAAATCACTTGTGAATCCCTCAAGCGAAAAGGGGTTAAAGCAGCAATAAGTCAAGTCAGGCACAGAGACAACACCTGTTCACTTCAATTCGCCTAACAAAATAAGTGTGATAAGCATTATGTGAAAAGCACTATGAAGTATAAAACATATGGCAGAACGGAACGAAAACGGCAATTGGGTATCGACAAGCCAATGCTTTGTTAGACATCGTGACATCAAAATTTTAAAAAAAAAGCAAGATGCAGTTGCTTTTGTCGAAACAAAATTAACTTACCCCGATAAATCGGTCACGAGCGCTTGACTTGTGCTGTAAAAAACAATACGACCCGAAGGCAGAATGCGAAACTGGCGGCAGCAACGCATAGCGGATGCTGGTTCCCAGGGGGCGGGTCACCTTACCAGAAACCGGTTTCGGGACCCCGAATCTGGTGGACTGTAAATCAGAGCGGCGGCAGTGCCCGCCCCTGTAATTGAAAGGCCCTGAAACTTGCTTTCCGGGGCAAAGTGCCCCGGACACTGAGTTTGGGATTTACTGTGTCGTTGTGATGGGTTTACGAGTAATACCTGTAAACAAGGTAGCTGTACGCCAGACAGTGGCTTGTCGTCACAGGCTTCGCGATACTTCGACTGCGATACTGCGGTGCTGCCCTGCCATAGGCAGACTCTCTCGCCACACATCACACTGAGAGACCTGATCGCACGTGAAAAACGGGCCGTCGACATTTGCGATTTTTCGATTTTAACAACAGAATAGCAAGCAAATGTTGCGTTTTTGGGCACGAAGTAGCCTTATAGTATCCCCCAGGATTCAGCCTCGCTGGGATTTGATCGCGTGGCCCCCTTATGCAAGTCGAAACCTCTCTATACGATTTTGATGAAATTTTGCAGACTGGTAGAATTCTGAGACGTGATTTCAATTCTGGAATATGGTTGAAATCTTAGCGATAAATTTTGAGAAAATTGCCGTCAAAATCACTGTTTCCATAGCAAAGCTCGACTCGTCAACGAAAAGGGAAGAGAGAGGGGGAAGCCGAGCGAAACCGAACCAATAGCATGGTTCCTTTTCGCTTCTGTACAGGTTAACCCAAAAACGGTCGCATCTTGAAAAGGACGTTCGAATAAAAAAATTTCCGCGACCGTGATAAACAAAGTAACAATACACAAGAGGATTTTTTTAGACGCAGTCTTTTCATTGGCACTGCCTGATGAAAATTTTTTAAAGGGAATGTCTTTGCTCATGCGCGGAACAACACAGTCATACCAACATGGAAAACCCACACTCATTGTGAGTTTTGTGTTTGTTTCTTTTCAATGTGTATTTTCTACCACAAAATTAATCTGTTTAAATTATGACATTATATCTGAATATATTTTTTGGACACATGTTGAAGAAAAGATTTAAAAAATTTTAAAAAATAGAAAATTTTTTCATTTATCAACTCCTTACTGAATCAATAAAACAAATTATTTTCTTAGCTCTGTCTTAGCTCTAGTTTTTGTTTGATGGTTCTTTTCATTCAGTTAGCACGATGACCACATCCTCCACCTCGCGACTTTTAGTGCTCATGTTCCTCGAACAAGACTCACCTGCGATTCAAAACCATCCCTACTGAGTTTATAAAGCTTGTCAAATAGGGTGGTCCGAAAAAACACTTTTTTTCTGATCGGTAACGGGTACCTGGCAAAAGGGGCCACTTGACATCAGAAACACACCTGCAAATTTTTTTTCCGATCGGACAATATCTTCGGTTCCCACTTTGAGGGGGAAGTTTCGGATTAATAGGTAAATTTAGGAAATTTGCAAAACGGACTCGGATGCGCTGCTGATGCGTTCGGATGGTCACTGGGGAAGAAAAAGACACCTTATGTACTTTAAACAGCATATCGAGCTTCATATGTGGCCCTACTTCAATACCCAGGGACCAGAAGTACGGCCGAAATTCCGTGTTTTGAGTAAAATCAACACTTTTGCTTCCACAAGTTGTGTGTTCGTGGTGTG